ACCAGTTTTATATCGTTTCAAAGTCGGGTCGTAGTTCGAAATTTTTAGAACTTTGATTTCTCGAAAAATATTCATCCCACAGCGTCCTGGATTTGAGGGGCAGTTTATATTCATAGGCCGAACATTCCCCGATAGTTTCCATCCCCTGGAGAGAAGTTTTAAAAAAATAAAAAATAGCCCCAAAAGTGAAGAGTCGAACCCACGACACGATCAGCCGAAACGAGCAGCGATCCAGCACGGAACTTGCTGAGCCAGCTCTTCTAGCTCCCCGGGCCTGGGGCTGCGCACCAAACCGGCAGTAGGGCATGTTTTGGTCGTGACTGTTATACCGGGGCTGAATCGCGTCTCTCGTATGCTGTCTGGTGGCTCAGAAAGTTGCGTGCCGGATCGCTGCTCGTTTCGGCTCTTCGTGTCGTAGGTTCGAGTTTTGACTTTTGGGGGTATTTTTTTCATTTTTTTATTTTGTACCCCAGGGGATAGGGGATAGGAGTTATCAGGGAATGTTCGGCCCATGAATATAAACTGCCTTGCAAAGCCAGGTCGCTGAGGGATGAATAGTTAGAAATCAAAGTTCTAAAAATTTCGAACTACGACCCTACTTTGAAACGATATACAACTTGTTTCTCGGTAGGTGATTGCCCACTACAGGATCTGTTTAGTTTTACTAGAGTAATTTACAGGCGAAGTCGGGGCGCTGTAGCTTCAACATTTTCTGAGGAAAGTCCGATTCACGTTTTTTTTCGACATCGGCCTGGCCAAAAACGTGCTCTCTCGGGCCGGCCGGGGCGCAGGGCCGCGCGCCCAGCCGATGGGCGGGGCAGCAACCTGATTGTGCCCTTGAGGATTCGTGCGCACAATGTTTTATCGCTTATGTTCACGATTCTTGCTCACAGTGCAGAGAGTTTTATGCGCTCGACGCATAATATTAGGCAAACCAAAACCGAACCGAAGAATTTTGCAGTGGTAGTTTCTAAGTGAAGGAAAAAGATAAAGGAACGGTTTGAAGTAGTGAAAAAAGATTATCAGTTTGAAGATTTATTGATCACACATCTAGCTCAAACTTTAACACCGAAGGGAAAAATAGGTTTTAGTCTCACATTTGGAGTTAAAAACATTTTCTTTAAAAACCCAACTTTTTCAGCATAACTGTTTTTATTGCATCTCGACCCCTGAAAATCTCTGGTTGGCTGGCCTTACATCCGGTAGGTCGGAAATTTCGGAATTTATCGGAAGTCGAAATTATTTCGTAATTATGTCCGAAATGTATCAGACGTCGTTCTTGTCGGGCTTTCCGGACCTGGGACGAATGTCGGACTGCGGAGGACGGACAAGACGGAATGTCGGAGTCGGGACTGCCGGGAGGTCTGGTATGTCGGAAGTCGCAAATTGGTTGACAGCTAGGGAGGGAAGGTCGGGTACGTCGAAAATGTCGGGATGTGGTGTCATGCATGCATGCCCCGTTATCAGGTTGAGGGAGACTGACATATCGCCATTCGGACATTTCCGACATTCCTGACCTTGGACCTCCGACTTCCGACATACCCGACGTATCCGACTACGCCGACATGTCCGTCTTCTCTTAGCCAATAATCGACTTTCGACCTGCAACATACCCGACCTATCCGACAGCACCGACATCGACGAATGTCGGATATGCCCGGAGATAGTATCGGATATCGAACGTAGGTCTAAGAGTGTAGTCCTCTTGGCCTAGTGGTGAGCGTCCCGATTTCGTGAGATGCATATTATTGGAAAGAGAATTTTTCCTCATTCTAATGATATGCATCTCTCAAAATCGACGAAAAATGGACTTACGACCATTCTCCGGGACCCTAGCAAGATCCGATCTAATTGTGTATTTCGACTAACGGAGGAAGAAGAATAGCGGGTAGAACATCAACGTTACCGATTGGTCGAGAGCGTCACGCCTTATGTCACGCCGGTAGTAGGGGTAACTCTAGTAAATCAGGAACCTTAATGTTCTACCCGCTATTCTTCTTGCTCCGTTAGTCGAAATACACTATAAGCGAACACTGGGAAATACGACCTCACGCAAACCCTCTCAAATACGAACTTTTTGTTTTCAGTAGTCGATCTGGACTATGTTGGATTTTATCCAGTGTTTACAAGTTATGCTGAAACGTTAAGTTGCCGTATTGTTTAAAACAGCATAATACAGTTTGAAATATAATAAATTTTGACACACTCGAGCACTATCTATGCAGGTCAATAGTAAAAACTAACAATTTGTTTCAAATAAAATTGGAATCTTGCCAAAAACTTGTGATGTGACCTCACAGGTAAACGCCGGAATGAAAGTAGATAGTTTTGCAGGTACAGGAAAACACACTGCTTTTGGCATAAAGAATTGTGACTTCCTAATCTGATTGTCATTCAAATCCGAAAGTTTTTAAGGAATCACAGAAAGAGGCTCTGATTGTCTTTCAGAGCTATCATAGTCCAGTCTTCATGTTCCAGAAAACATAATTGCCATATATATATATTGGTACGTATTTGTGGCACATGTCTTTAAAATAAGTAGAAATATTACTTTGGCATTTTTGTGTGCGGAGTAGAATTAAACATCATTTGCCACTGTCTTTTCCTTATTACTATAGTATACATTTACCAACAACTCACACAAGTTGAAGACATGTCACGGCCTGTCTCACACTTACTCTAAACGACATCTGTACATATCACACAGTTTAAATTCGAAACATGCAGAGGTAATCATACAAAGAACAGATGGAATTAACCCTTTAAAATCAGTTCCGGTAGGTCTTTTTGATGATCAGACTCGTTGGTCGCACCATATTCGCGTTCTGGGAGGAAAGCTCCCCGACCGAGTGCGGGTGAAGGCAGTTCGGTGGCAGCAGGGCGGACTCCTCTGACAAAGACCTAAAGGCCTCGAGCCCGTCCCTAGTCGCAGCCCTGGGGGAAGACCTGGGGGAAGCCCTGGGGGAGGCGGACACCGACACGGAGGAGCCGGTGAGGTTGATGACAGAGTCCGTGGTGGTGGACAGCCCCGAGCCTGACAGCGCGGAGAGCCCGTCATGAGATAGTGACGCCCCGCGGTCCAAGCTGACGGTCACGCTCTCGTCGAAGTATCCATTGTCTGCGCTGAACTGGCGGTGCCTGGACACGCTCCTGGGGCTGGCCGAGTGGCTGGCAGCAGAGCTTGACGAGGACTGCGTCAGGAACTTGGGTCGCGGCGAAGTGGACGTCAACGACGCCCCCGCGCATGGTTCGGCTGCAACACCGCAGTAGTTTTAGCAGCAGACCGTCCTACGAGTTTACAAACAACGATAACTCCCCTTAAAGCCAGTGCTTACCTGGTACCACCGCCAGGTCGCCTGGCGACAGCGAGCGGGGATTGCTGGGCTGGCCATGCCGTTGGTCCGAGCGTTGGTCCGCGGGCGGCCAGTGAACCAGGGCCACAACCTCGTTGGCCGGGGTCACGGACGGCGTCGCGGCCGAGTCCGAGTCGTCAACGTACTGCAGCTGATCAGCGTCCCGGCACGTGAAGCTGGGCGGCGGTGGCTCCAGGAACAGAGTGGGCTGCCGAGGGGGAGACCTCGCCGGGCGGGGCGGCGAGCGCGCGGAGGCGTTGAGGGAGAAGGCAGCGGTGCGCTCCCGGGGCGCGGGGGGAAGCTCGTCGTCGATGTCCTCTGGTGTGCTGAGGTCCTCGCCGTGCTCCTGGTAGCGGTACGGGTCTTGCTCTGGGGACCCGTCTCCGAAAGCGAGGTACGACTCGTCATAGTAGGAGCGCAGCTGGTGCAACACGCTGGTGGACAGCGAAGGCGAGGACTGGTCCGACGGCGTGGAGTCTCGCCGCTGGGTCTTCTTCAGGCAGGAAGGGCGGCGCGCTTCGGTGACGCTGGCTGCGGGCGCCTCAGGCGGGCTCTCCTCCGGCACGCTGAACTTGGCGCGGTTTTTGAGCTCCACCGGGTAGTACGCCTCGGCGATGGCCTCGTACTCTTGCTCCGGCGATGACGTGCGACGGCGGTCGAAGTGCCGGGCCACAAGCCGGGACGTCGACGTCGGCTCGACGCCGTCCTCATCCTGTGACAGAGCGGTGGTCAATGGGGGCAGCGAAACTATACATTCTCCAGATCTTTGCACTTACCTGCGATGTGTTGGAGCAGCTGCCGTAGCCAGTCCCGGATGGTGAGGGTGACGAGTCGCTCAGGTGACACCGGCACGGGTACGCACCGCCCGGCGCCTGCACGCTACGGAAGTACTCGGCGAGCTGCGGGTCTAGGTTGGCGTGCGAGCGTCGGGCGGCGCGCTCAAAGGACGCCCGCACCCAGTGTCGGCCCGTCTCTGCCTCCTGATCTTCCTCCGGGATGCTGATGGTGACGGTCGGCCCCGCCGTCGTGGGGAGCGACGCCGCCACCGGGGACAGCATACGGCTAGGCGTCGACGGCGGCGTGTCCACAGTGTCGTCGCCCAGGCGGCCACTGGGACTGGCGCCACCCAGCAGCCCACCGAAGGACAGCCCCGGGCGCTGTGGCAGGGAAAAGGACACTGCCCGCTTCTGACGTCGCCGCGCCGGACCGACGCGCACCTGGGGACAGCAGAGGGGGTCTTGTGGTCACTCTCACCCAACCCTTACCCTCTGGTCCAGGACCCTGGTGCTCACCTCAGACCGGCGGCGGCAGGGCGCCTTGTCCTGAGTCCTGCGCGCGCGCGCCTGGCGCTTGCGGACCTCGTGCAGCAGCGAGGTGAACTCCGCCTTGAGGCACGACAGCCGGGCGATGTCCTGGCCGCCGCTCACCTCCCCGTCTCCGTCGACAACGTCCTCGCTCGCCAGCCGCTCCAGCTCGCCCTGGACGTAGCACAACCTGGTCGTCAGCTGTGCAGCAAGAGTAAGCGGTGAGTGACCTCGTGGCGTTAGCAAGCGGGTGCGAGTGAGAGAGGAGTTACGTGTTGTGTGCAAAGTAAAGGGGAGGTAGGTGAGGGAGAGTGTCCCTGGGTCCGGGGTATTTGGGTTAGGAGGGATGGCGACAAGTATGAGAAAAGTTTGGGGCAAAGTAAAGAGAGACGTAGCTTTAACAACACGGGCGAAAGTAACGACAAGAGGGAGAGTAAAACAAAGTGAGTGTGCGTGGTAAAGAGAAGGAGGGGGGGAGCGTGAATGGAAGGGAACAGAAATGAAAGTAGTCGTGATAAGTAAAACGAAAAAGCAAGGAGGAAGACTAAAAATACGTCTGACAGAGAGAAGAGTCTAGGAGACAAGCGTCAACGTGAACAAACGAAGCATAGCGAATGATGGCGCGAGGGTTGGAAAGGTAGGGGGGGGGGGCATTTCTGCCGTGCCCTTGTTTCCCGCTTCTCCGCGCGCTTCCCGGGGACATGCTTGACTGGCTGGACTTCCCCAAGGCGCTTCCGATAAGCTACGTGGGGGGGCGCCGCCTCGCCCGGAGTCTCCGGTCCTCGCGCCTGTCTGTGTGCTTCCTCCCTCCCACACGTGTCAGGTCCGACCGTGTCCGTCTGTTTGTGCAAAGGTGTTATAGACAAAGCACTTTTTAATTTTTTGTTGAGTCTTTCTTTTTTGCGTGGTGCCTTTGTGCATTATTGACCCCAAGTTTGAAAACTGTATGGTATTTTTCACGAGGGTGCGGAGCTGACTACTCAGAGTAAGGTGTTCATTGGGCTGTTACCCCGACGCGGTTTAAAATGCAAAATTAAACCATGACGCTAGCACCTAGCACCCCCCCCCCCCCCGGTTTGGTATTAACGGGTTTGTTTAAAAACAAGCAGGCCCTCCCTTCCGCCAAACGCAGTTGCCAGCTCCACTTCGTTGCGCCGGCAACTCCGTTCGGCAGGGGCCGGGCCTGCTTGGCCTGCCGGCGGCGATGGTCGGGCCTGCGGCCCGACCATTTCAGTCCCGCGATTTACTGAAGAACATAACCAAATAAATAATGTGACCGGTAAATCACTTTGCATATTTGGGTAAACTAACTTCCGGTGGGGGGCCTGCGGCCCTAGAGATTTGCTCCTTTCACATGACAAAAGACTGTAACGGGGCAACACCGTGACTACACCCCACCCTTCTGCTTTGCTTCAGAAAAATACAAAAAAAGAACCAGCGCAGTTTTTAGATTGTATTGTTTGTCAAACAGTCTTAAAACTTGACTTTTTGCCATTGTTTTCAATATATTTCGTTTCGGGGCTCCGCGCCTACATGTCAGTATGTCAGACGTCTGGGCCGGCTGGGCCGCCCCGTCCGGACTGACTGTGAGCCATGCTCGAGCCATGCTCTCCCCCGGCACGTACAGATGGTTGGTAAGGGGACGGGGGATGAAGGCGCTCCGGCGGCGGGGGATACGGGAGCTCCGCGCACCTGCGGCGACGTCCAGCCCAGCCCTGCGCGGCAGACTCTCCTCGAATACCTCTGGCCTCACTTTTCGTTTCCTTTTCACCCGCCCGTCTGCATTGAAAAAGCTGTCTATAGCGGGGCTTATTCCAACGGCCTGGTGCCTGCGTGCCTGTCTGTCTGTCTTCATGATTTTATGGCTTAACTTAAAGTCTTGTTTCAGCGGATTCCTGAGGACTGAAATGTCGTCGGTTTCGCACTATCCCTCCTCACCGATCAAGGCGATAAGAAGCTTTTTTTCTCAGAGAAAAGAGGCTAAAAATTACTCCCTTTTGTACGTAAAGAGTAGCCGCAGGGCTGTTGTACTCACCTCGCCCACGGGCGACACCTGGACGTCGGCGCGGCGCACGGAGGGTGGTGGCCTGGCCTCGCCTGGGGCACGCCGGTGTCGCAGCAGGCGCCACAGCAGCTCGATCTGTCACAAGGAGTACGAGGAGAGCATGACGGATGCGGCATCGGGGACTAGGACGCCCCCACCGGCCCCACTAGAGGTTGGCGAGGGGATTGCACCGCTTCAGGGGTGGTGTCCCTTCCAGCAAACTTCCATTACTCAATATACCCAGAAAACTGCATTTTTTGTCATCTTTAATCACGAATGTACCGTCAACACTCTCAGGAATGTTTTGGTTTCGAGAATAATAACAAGCTAGGCCCGCTTTTCCACCAAACCAAGCTTTCCAGCTCCGCTTCGCTCCACCGGCAACTCGGTTTGGCAGGGAGCGGGTCTGGCTTGGCCTGAAACGACCTCGAAACGATGGAAAACTGGTCGAATCGACGGCGAAACGACATCGTTTCGACAAACATTTCTTACTGGGATGTAGCTTTTAAGCAGAAGAGCGGGCTAAAATTGGTCTTTGAATCATGTTATAAGAAATACCAAGAGTGAAGTCCACGTGATTTCGTTCTGCCACTTACACGTGCGTGTGCATACGCTCACCTGCACGTTGAAGTGCTGCAGCAGCAGTGTTCCAGCCGGCCCAAGAGCCGTGTCCGAGGCCACCGTCACGAACACCTGGTCGGCGTAGGTGAGGACGGAGACGGCGATGCCCAGGCGGCCGGGCGCGGGCTGCAGCGGGTACACGGCCTTGAGCACGGCGCCGCCGACCAGCACGGTGGAGGAGGGCCCGGCCAGGGTGGCGAACTGGATGGAGGCCTTGTCGGTGAGGGAGGAGAGCAAGCGTCCAGCCCACGACCCGCCCAAGGAGGCAAGGTACACTACCTCTGGGTCTGGAACAACGACAAAAAGGTGGCATCAAAACGATGTTCGACACCCGAGAAGAACAACGCCTTCCCTCGCGGACTGGAAACAAACGCGCTTACCTCTGCAACCCTCAAACAAAACCGCTCACCTCTAGGACATGCAAACAAAGCCGCTGAAATGAATTTTTTACACATGTTGAGATACTGGTATCAAAATTATCACTGAAAAATTATCTTTCGAATGATACCCATGTTTCAGAATGGGTAAAAAAGTCATTTAAGCGGCTTTGTTTGCGTGTCCCAGAGGTGTGCGGTTTTGTTTGAGGGTTGCAGAAGTAAGCGGTTTTGTTTCCAGTCCGCAGAGGTAAGCGGTTATTCTTCTCAGGTGTCGTGTTGATGGTTATGTCCGGCTGTTGTCAGATAAATCGGAAAATTGTTAACGCTTGGAGCCTTGTGACACTCAGCTACATGCGACGCCGAGTGCCCCACCTGCCCGGGCGCCTAAGGTGTAATGTAGATCTCTATATCACCTTACGGGCGCCGCCCCCCCCCCTCCAACCTCTAACTACCGCACCCTACACCCTCTGCGCCCGTCCTGCCTGCACCTGCTCGCAGGTACTTTAGGCACCACCTGGTGGGCTAGAGGCGCCAGCCCCCTCCAACCCCTAACCGCACCTGCAGCTGCTCGCAGGTACTGCAGGCACCTCCTGGTGGCCCAGAGGCGCGGCACGGCACCCTCCACGCTGACGGGGAGACCGATCACTACGGGGACGGTCTTGTTGGAGAGCGGCCCACCACCTCTGCACCGGTTGTTGTTATTGTTGTTGTTCTTGACGTGCGCAGGGTTCGGGTACATGTCGCCAACCACGCTGCCTGCCAGCTGGAAGTGGTGGTGATGGTGGTGGTGATGAATGGGATGGTGATGGTGGTGATTGAAGTGGTCGGCCTGGTGCTGGTTGATGTGGTTAGCCATCCGACTCTTATGCCGGTGCATGCTGATGGGAAGGGTGACCTGCACACAATCGTTTCCCACCAGCAATTTTATAATTTTGGAAAATTATTGACGAAAAATGATGAGACGATTATTTCATAAAGCCTCTGGAGGCATTGGAGCACTAAACATGACAAGTGTGTTGTTGTGTTGCAGTCATACCTGCAGATCGGGCGGCAGGCGCACGCCGCAGCCCTGGAGGAGCGCGCGCACCGCACCGCCGACCGCCGCCAGCATGACGCAGTTGAGGCTGCAGCGCGACACCTGCTGGATGCGCTTCACCTTGCTGAGGGCGATGCCGGCGGACCAGGCGACGCGCACCCCGCCGGCCGCCTCCTCGTCGTCATGGCCGGCGGCGTCCTGGCCGCCCAGGAGCAGGTTGTTGTCGCGCGCGCGCAGCAGCAGCCAGCCGAGGATCGCGAGCGGGCCCGACACAGTGGCCCGCGCCAGCGCCAGCGAGTGCCGGAGAAGCCCGCGCCGGCAGCGGCGCACCTGCACAAGCGGGCATCACCGTCACGCAACGAGATGAGGTATACAGAGCAGAGTACTAGCTATATACCAGGTGGCTGATTAACCCCGCGCACCTCTGTAGTTAGACTGTACCGCACGCACGAGTGCGGGCGGGTTGCATACTCACCCGGCCCGTAAGGCGCCGTGGACAGGGGTGATAGACAAGCCCGCCCGCACTCCTGCGTGCGGAATAGTCTAAATACAGAAGTGCGCGGGGTTAATCAGCCACCTGGTATGTTCGCCGTACCACGTCTCGCGTAACAGGCTTCTCAATATCTCACGAAACCCTGTCACGCTACGACGCGCCTGACGCAGGCCTGCGTCGCTGGCTGACACCCGAGACGAGTTATGAGGAAATAAGGCCTTGCGGCCCCAAAATTTGGCATGGTCACAGCACAAGTCAGGTCAGGGACTTAATCACTCCAAAACTATGGAAATGAAACTTCAGATTTTTGATAAAGGTTTTCAATAAAAGTTCCTCTGTCAGATTCTAAGTCGATTTTTTCGTGATAGTAGGTGGAAATGGTGCACCTAGAACGCTGGGAGGAAGGGTGTGGTGAGACACCAAATGTCCTTGTAGCGGGCACTCCCTTTAAAGTTTTTCGACATCAAGCTTTTTTTACGAATTTATGAACCATTTAGTCATTTTCACCTCATTTTCGTCAAGAAATGCCCTCTAGAGCCTAAACTGTACAAGTTAGACAGAAAAGGACGAACTTTTCGACTAGAGTCTTCTTTTAAAAGTTTCCCCTAGGATATCAATAAAAACTATTTTTTTAAAAACATTGTGATCTGCGGTTTCCAATCAAAAAAGCCAATTTTTGAGCTACAGTGATCATCTTTGAACTCGATCTGTCTTTTTATTTGGACACTAAACGACCCTGGAATTCCCAGGTCGCTAACTAGGTAATTCCTTCTCGAGTTATCGTGCGTACAGACAGACAAACACAAAACCGGAATAAAACTTTTTAGGCCAGTGCAGTAATGGGCTTCGCTAATCGCTCAGGCAACAAAGGACGCCCACGAGTTTACAGCACAGCGCAAGCACTTCTCTCGCAGTCTCTAAGGAAAAATAATTGGCTGAGCGATTAACGAAGCCTATTTTACACCAGTGACGATCAAAGAATTTCGCGTCTGTCTGTGTGTGGGTCTGTTTGTCTGTCATCACGACAACTCGAGAAAGGTTTGAGCTAGAAGGCCCAAATTTTTATTGTACCTTTGATGGTCTCTAGTGAGGTAGCCTCGGAGGTAGCTCGTCAAAATAAAACCCTAGGGATAAGCCATTTTGACTTTGGGGGCTAAAGGTCTATTTACGATTGTGCCTTTCGCCCGACTCGGGTGTCAGCACCGTAGGCCTTACGTAGATGTATGCCAGGCGCGTCGCAGCGCAACAGTGTTTCGTGAGATATCGCGAAGCCTGTTACGCGAGACGTGGCCTGGCGTACGTACATCCACCTCGTTAGCCAAAGATTTGAGTGCGTTTCGAGGCAAAGGTTCATTTCGATTATTGGACGAAAATTGGTGGAACACTGCAAGATGGAAATTGCAGTGAGATTGGAAGGGGAGGGCGTGTGGGGGTTGAGAGGGGAGGGGGCGTCAGATGAGCGCCGTTAGCGAGAGAAGGGGAGAGTGAAAGGGGGAAAAGGAGGAGGGTGAGTCACCAGTCGCCCCACGCCCACCAGGCGCGCTCAGCCGTCTGATTCAGAGGATCGTTCAAGCGGGTCTCTCCTATACCTGCCCCATAGTGCAACAAGGACGGAGCTATACGGGAAGTATAGGAGAGCTCCTCTTCAACGATCTCCTGAATCAGGCGCCAGGCAGCCACGGACACGTGTTGCAGGCCGGCCTATAATGGAAGTCCCTTGTCGTGTCGATGAGCCGAACTGCCGAGCTTCCACTATATTCGTCCAGTCTGCCCTGCCTAAACAGCAAATAAGATTCCGCACTGTTTCTATTCTTATCAGATTTGAAACAAATCTCTATTCTTACCCTGCGTAGAAACATATTGACGACCAAATGGCGTTCATTCATCCTTATGAAAAGCGTGTGGGGAGGGGAGCCTTCATTCTTTCTAATTTTCGAGTTTCCGTTGACTGAGCAGTCCGCCTCAGAATGGGGGAACAAATTGCCGAAGTAAAGGCCGAGACAAGGGACCTGTTGGCTGTTATGGCCATCTCGTAGCCGCCCGCAGTCCTCAACAGACCCCCCTCTACCCTCCTACCAACTGCTCCCCCAGCCACTCGACCTCAGTAACGAGCTCTTGACCGGGTCGCCCTTTGTCTGCCGGCGCAATATCAGTCCGCATTTTATTTACTTGTCAGTCCGATACGTTGTTTTCTTTGAGAAGGATCGGAGAGCCGCCCACCCATTCTTGAGGTGGATACAGAGTTTGCTAAACGTGATTAGCGCTAGCGCTGCACCCTCACCTGCTTGGGCCTGGTCATGGGGTTGTCGGCGAGCGCGTGGCACAGCAGCCGCACGAGGGCGTCGCCGTCCCCGAGCGCGGGGTGCACCCGCAGCACCACCACCACTTCGCTCTTGCGCGCGCCGCACCCGGGCAACAGTCGCATCTCCCAGGGCGGCCGGTCGGGCGGCAGCTCCTTGTCGAGCAGTTGCGACACGTACACCTACCAACAGACACATAAGTTTTCACAACCGTTTTCATCGGTTTACAAAGAGACAAATTAGCACAATAAATGCAACGATATGCTTTCTTATGAGAGCGGTGTTATTTTATTTCAGGGAAGCGCACCTGCAGACCGTCTCCACCGCAATCCGCCGGGTAGATGTGGCGGCTGATCTTGAAGTCGGCGTCAGGCACCCAGCACATGCCGCCACCTAAGACAACAATATCGACAAGACTGCTATAAATACGCCTTATACCGCGTGGAAACGGGTTTCTTCACGGGTAAATGCGGCGCTCAAGACACGGACTCGGCTCTCTTGTCCGCAAATACCGGCGAACCCCACCACGCTCCCAGATGGCTGTTGACTCTCTCTCTCTCTCTCTCTCTCTCTCTCTCTCTCTCTCTCTCTCTCTCTCTCTCGAAAGCGCCCCCACCTCCTCCCCCTGCTGCCAAGGATTAATGAGCTTACAGGTGGGGCTGAATAGCGGATCGGGTTGGAGGGGGGCTAAAGCTTTATGCTGCTCAGGGACACGTCAGAGGCTCACAGGATTCCGTTGCAAACCGCGTCTCCGGGATAGGCAAAGAGGCGACTGCGTCAGCGCTTAACCATCTCAACGTGCATTCAGAAGACGTCACTCACTCCAGCACCACGAGAGAGATAATTGATAATTATTTATTGTAAATTGTATAAGAAGACTAAAAAGTCATATAGCTGTTCATCAGTGACTGCCGTTTGTCGTACCGACACCCTTTCCTTCAAATAACTGTTTCCGCGCGCGGCCGCCAGGAGCACTGTGTTCACCCCTCCCCGAGGGGGAACTGACTCTGCGATCTCGTGTTCAACGGATTACCTGACATTCTAGGCCAGCAACTCAGCTCTGCAGGGGCCGGGCGTACTTGGCCTCACTGGAAAAACAAAGGTGTGATGTCCTACCTTTCCAGGGGCGTTAAACTCGTTTTAGGGGTGCTAAAGAGTATATTTCCAGTTTCTTCAAAATATTTTCTATATGAGCAAACCAATCACATTTTGATTTATCGCATTCCTCACAAAATTCCGCGTCAAACGAGCCTACATGTAATAGGGTTCAGATAAGCGGTCAGCAAATGAAAAGCAAGTCAAAAAGTACAAAAAATGAAATCAATCTATGCCATTTTTGAACAGAACCCCATCATATGTAGGCTCGTTTGACGCGGAATTTTGCGTAGATTACGAAAATAGGTTTTAGAATCCAATGTTGTTCCATGGGAAAGAAATATTTCGAAAAAACAGAAATTGTAATGCCTTTGGAGCTTTAACGCCTTTTAAAGGTAGGATATCCTACCTTTGTTTTACCAGTGCTGCCGGCAGCGATTGTCGGGCCTGCGTCCCGACCTTTAAGTAACTATTCATAGTATAAACTTCCAGGCCGTGCTGCTGCGGCCCTTTAAATTTCTTTTATTTTCCGGCCCACGCCTTACAGGAGGTAAGCAGCAGCCGGGTTGCGCCGCAGTTTGAGTTGAGCCGCCTCGCCTCAGCACGCTCCCATAGCGCCTGGTAGGCAGGCAACGTGTACTTGTGCAGTGCTTGCGTGTACTGCGGGATGGCCTACCCCGAGTATCGCAGGCGCCATGCTCTCGTGACTTGCCGAAATGATGTAAATAAATCTGCGGACTACGGAAGAAGAACAAGCCGGCCCGCCCTTCCGCCAAACCAAGTTGCCAGCTTCACTTCGCTCCGCCGGCAACTCCGTTCGGCAGGAGCCGGGCCTGCCTCGCCTGCCGCCGCCGGCGTTTGTCGGGCTGTTGGTAAGAGTAAACAGTTGTACCAAGAGGAGAGCGGAGAGGGAGGGGGAGAGCTTCGTAAGGACGAGTCTGGTTCAAAAGACGAGGGACCAAACGCCCAAAACCGCGGACGCAAACGCTCCAGTGGACCACAAAACCGCAATAGCCACACTAGAAGCTGGCGGATATGTACCCACCACCACGCCGAAGACTTTTTCCGCCAAGCTACTTTCGTAAAGAGCTATGTGTGATAACCGAACCCCAGTCCGACCTCCGACCTGGCACGGGTTTATTTCGTGCCGATAGTCTTCGGGAGTTGTTGGTGCCACCTGTAATATTTGAGGAACGCGCCGTCCCGCCCGGTCCCGCCGTCCCTCGTCTGGGAGCCATCGTTGGAAACGAGTTCGTTTCAGTATGCTCGGAAAAACATAATTATGTTTGAGAGGGCTTAAGAAATGGGGTAGATGGAAAGGGATACCCTCTATTAGCAGAGAAGGGAGCAGGGTGCGGTTGAAAGGACCCTTTCCCCTTTTCATCTCCCCTTCTTCTATCCGTGCTCAGGAGGGAGGAAAAGAAGAGGGGAGTGGAGGTGGGGGAGGGGGGAGGAGTGTGCGGGCGGATATTGAAAAACCTCTACTGCATGCGATTGGGGTTGTCATTCTGCGTGGTTGAGCCATTTACCTATCTATCTCCATGGAGATGGGAGACGCGGGGAGGAAACACATACACAATTGTTTAACGAGACATTTTGAATAACCCAATTATGCCGGAAAACTAAACTGTTTTAATTATAATTTTGCGATAATCCAATCCGATTCCAGCATGCTCACAAACATTTGAGAGCCAAGAAGATCGGATATGTCTCAAATTTTCCCCAGAGAAATACTGTGTATTTCAGGCTGTGCAAGGGGGGGGGGAGCAGCACAAGCCACTCAATCCTGCATCGGCCCGAGCACGCCCCGCTTCGGCGGTTCGGTACACGAGCTTGTGTCTATTATGGATAGATCACGTACGTAGCTACACCAGGCGTGTGTAACGGAGAGAAATAATAGAGAACAGACTAAATGTTAAATGCTCATCTTTCTTTTTGTCAGTCGGTGCCATTATTTATAATTTAATTTAAACAAGAGCGCACCTCGCTTTTTATGGTGCAAAGTTACCCTGAAATTTTGAGCTACTGTTCTCGAGTTATCGAGATTATAAACAAACAAACAAACAAACAAACAAACAAACAAACAAACAAACAAACAGACACGAAACTTTTTGATCACTGGAGTCCTAGGCTTTGCTCATCGCTCAGCAGCAATTAAGGAGATTTTGATTGATTCAGCAGGGCCCTCATTACCTGCTTGCGAAACTTTTCTCACCCTCGGCCTCGCGGCGCCTCGTGGCCTCGAACACGCAGAGGAAACAGTAATGAATCAGAGAGGGTTTGGAACCAACTACGGCGTTTCGTAGCTGCCTTATTTGAAAAGCTGAGTACCGAACGCTTTTTCTAAAGCAGGAGCCGCTATCAAAAGTAACATCCGCTGACCTTCAAATTTCTCACAATTGAATTTTAAGAGCAAGCGCCTACCCGCCGCGCCACCGACTGTGAGCGCTCCGAGCGAGACGTGCGCAAAGGAACAAAGGCGCGCGTATTCTAGGAAATATGGCAAACAATAGATCATCTAGACGCGGTAGGTGGGTGGGTGTTGGCGGGCCGTCAAGCGTCAAGGTGGCGTCGGAAAGTGGGGGCGGTCGGATTCGGGTCCGCAGGTGGGGCGGCCCGTGACTGGGTCAGACCAGCGATTTGGGACCGACAAAGGCAAAGGGGGTCGTGGTAAATGCGTGTGAGATAAGGAAGGGAGAAAATGGAGAGTGCTGGGAAGAAAGGGGAGGAGGAAATAGAGGGACCTCGGAGGGATGTAAACGGGCGCTGAAAGTACACAAGCTGCTGAGATGCCTGAGTGATTTGGAGTGCCGTGTTTTGTGGCGAAGGGTGCGCCTGTTCCGCGGCGTAACCAGGAATGTGTGAGCGTTAAAGGAGGGTCGGGGGGGGGGGTAGGAAGGTACCAAGCAGCTGGCGGGTACTGTGCTTAAAGAAGGGTGGCCCAAGCGGGGTGACGCCAGACTGAGGGCAGAATAATGCAGAGCGTCCCGCGGACAAAGGCGCCTTCGCAGAGGGCCCCGCCGGCCCCCGGCCCCACCGGCCCCGGCCCAACCCGCCGCAGCTCCACCGGCACAATGGGATGAGGCTGCAGAGGGGCGCGCGACCCCGTGCACACAGAGCGGGGGTGTGGCGGGGCGGGGCGGGCCGTCGGGAAGTCACTCCGCTAGGCACAAAGCCCTGAGAACGGGCCAGCCCATTTGGCTTGTCCGTCGTGCACCTCACCTGCAGTGAAGGGCATCGCCAGGGGCCGCGCCGTCAGCCGCGGGTACTGTGGCAGCACGCGGCTGACGACCAGGTCGCGGAGACGGCCCACGTCCAGGATCACCTCCCCGCCGGCCTCGAGGACGAGCACGGCGTGGAGCACGGGCAGCCCCGCGCTCAGCCAGCAGGCCTCCGTCCCGGACACACGCTCGCACACTGCAACATAAATAATAAAAAAGTCGTTACTCGTCATTGGCTAAGCGATTAGCAAAGCGTTTTACTCCGTCTGTTCAGAAAAAAATTTGTCTGTCCGTCTGTGCGTCCGCACGATAACTCGATATCGAATTGAGCTAGAGACTTAAAATTTTCAGGGTTGTTTTTTGGCACTTGCGCCACACAGCAAAATTACAAGCGCACTGTATCGACTTGGAATTTATTGATAAGCAAGAATGGGCTAACGCAAATTTACACATTAGGCATTCAATATTTTATAAATAAAAATTCAAAATATGTTACGAAAGATATTTTTCACAGACTGACCTCGGATGCGGTGCCACAGCAGGTGCAGCTGCAGCAACAGGCGGCGACAGAGCAGGTAGCAGGGCAGGAGCAGCAGGCCTACGGCGAGCAGGGGCAGGCACAGCAGCCCGCCCACCAGCCCGCCCGCGAGGTCGGCCAGCACCACCCCCAGCCAGCCCCACACGGCGCTCTCCACGGGCGCGCGCAGGCGGCGGAGGGGGGCGCTCTCCATCCCGGCCGCGACCCGGGCCCCGCCCGCCATCTGAAAAACAAACAAAAAGAGAAAACATACTGAAAAGTTCACCGTCGTCGACAGTTTCCAGCCATCGATCTACACGGCCGTACTCTTGAAAATCAAAGTCAGCGAAACAATTTTAACAGTAAAGCATGATAAAATCTGATGTTTAAAGTGACAGAGTGTTATGCGTAAGAAAGAATAACTGTCACAATCGAAGGGGCAATAACTCCTTTTTGACGTGTACACATGATTTTTGAAGTACTTTATTCCCGCTGATTCCCGTCCGATTATATTTACATTCCTTGGGTTTTCTAGTGGCAGAAAACGCTTATTTCGACTAATTTGTACCAGTTCCACTCTCGCTTAGTTCAAGCGCTTCTGTGGATTTTGATTAATTTTTATCCTGATGATTTCCATAGGCAGCTGTACAGACGATTGTCTGAGTTGTTGCCCCCTCGGTCGCAAGTAAAAGAAGTGATATGTATCACTTTACAAGATTACTCTTCGGAGCATGATATACCATTCCCCACAGTCAGGCTGTGCATGCCATATGTGATCCACAAAGTCAAACGTGTTGCGACGACAATAATCTCGCCCAATTATAACCATTTTTTCCGGCGCGACACGTTTGCTCCGGTCTCGGTGGATTCGCGCGCCCCCCACTGCGTCACCGTCGGCCGCCAGCCTCCGCTCCGACGCACAATGGTGTTATTGGACCAGCATTCTTGGCCGTCGCTCTTCCCGGGTTCCGGGTGCTGGAGCGAGCTAGCTGGAGCAACTAATATTGCAACGTCTCATAACTTTGCTTTGCCCTCCTCTTCCCGGAACGAACCCCTCCTGTGTCCCAGCGCAGCGCGCACGACCGTGCACGCCTCATATTTGTGCCCCTATCTAACATCTCTCCCTGTGACACCCCTATATCCACCATCAACTTTTGGCGAAGAGAAAACCCGTTTTCATTTTTAATTTTCCTAATTTTACCTTTATTTTAACGCAGTTAACACTGTGAAAAAAATAATTCTAAAATTTACGACAGTTTGTATAATTTTTGATTACGATATAAGCTTAGGTATAGCAGTCTTCGATTTTACAGCCCAGTGTTCTTCTTCTCCCTCTTGCCAATGTTATTGTAATTCCTATTATGAAGCGCAACGTTCCGTCAAATGTTTGGACAAGCTGATTATTTTCCTCCCAAGCAGCTGTAGCTTGTTGATTACCTTATCTGTAGGGGTCCATAAACACCACCCTCGGCCGGGCTGTTCGCACTGCAGGCCCTGCCATAGTGTGGCTGGAACGAAAAACAACAGTTAGTGAAACCATTTGAATAAAATCATCTACATTATTGTCGTTGCAGGGATATGGTTATATATTTCGGTTAACTCCTGTAAAAAAACAGAACAGAATGATGTGCCACGATAAAATAAGCTCACTCCTCTGCTTAGAAGAAAACTTTGAACCAATGGCTCTACTAAGACATACTCCTGACAAGTTTTTTTTGGGGGGAGGGGTATTTTGGTGAGAAACACTTCATTTAGTGCCCAAACGATGAAAGATGGAGCCAAACAACCAAAATTTTCGCCCCAAGCGATCCAGTTTAATGAGTTCCTTCCTGGGAAGCCATATCAAAGATTTAAAACAATCATTTCGTTTTGTGGCCCCTTTCTATTGGAGAGACTCCCTTTGGCGCCTTAACAGTGAGGGGTACAGCCGAGCTGTTCGAGCGGGCGAAATTTTAAAACACAATAGAAGCACATGTTTTTCCTCTACTTCCTGTACTTCTTCTTACCCCCTCAGACCCACTCAGGGGGGGTTGCCAGGATTTGCACCAGAAGTCCACCTGTTGCGCAGAAGTGACATCAATCTTACCCTGAAAAATTCAGACCTCTGGCACGTCCTTCTTGGGAAACGGACAAACAGACAGGGGCGATGTCATAAGCCCGCTCATATAGCTTTTACAAAGAAGGAGAGCGGGCTAACAACGGAGGGCAGACACGGGGGATTAGCAACAAGACAGGAATACAACACTAACAGAGAGAAAAAAGTTAAGAGAAATGCAGAACACGTAAAGTTGGTTCACGAAATTCTGACACACCGGCAGGCCGTCGGACCCCAGGTCTCATTGTAAGCGTCATTACGATGCGTGAAGCCGTGCTACCCCCCTGCCCTCGCCGGGCCCAGTGGTACGGCTGCCAAACTTCTTCGCGTCTCTTTTATGGGAGGCCACTTCCTGCGGGGGTGTGCGAGGTAAGGCTTGGCAGCTTAAGCCGATCCGACCCTTTTAGTGAGTCTAACCATATTGCTTCCGTGATCAAACGAAACTTTTCTATATGTCGTGTGACGTGTCTGCGTGTTTCAGAACGCGATACTATGATGACGAGTCCAAAAACTCTCAGGGTTTCTTTGTATCGTCAAAAACACTGACCCGCAAAGACCTTTGTTGATTTTGGAAGATCAAAAAAAAATAGCCGATCTTCAATACTAAAATCAAGAACACCTCGAAGAACTCATATTGCTTATGCGCGGATTCAGATCGCTGAACTTTGGGCCTACTAGCAGCTCGGAGGCGAGCTCACCCAAACCGCCGAGCTCGATCACAGAGCTCCCCTACGCTCTGCTCCGAGACGCACGAACGCATGTCATGTCGGGTCGGATTGGAGTGTGTTGTGCGAGAGGATTGTGTTGACTGGGAGACAAGAACAGGGACACTTGCCGCGTTTCACTCTCTCTCTCCCTCCCTCCCCCTCTCCCTTCTCTCTCTTTCTCCCTCCCTCTTCTCTCTCTTTCTCTCTCCCTCTCACTCCCTCCCTCTTCTCTCTCTCTCTCTCTCTCTCTCTCTCTCTCTCTCTCTCTTTCTCCCTCCCTCTTCTCTCTCTTTCTCTCTCCCTCTCACTCCCTCCCTCTCTCTCTCTCTCTCTCTCTCTCTCTCTCTCTCTCTCTCTCTCTAGCGTAGAAACAATGATAACGAATCTAATTGGTTAGACTTTTTTTGGAAAACCTCTACGCAAACATACTCCAGTATGCGATAAGAGAATATCTGTCACAGTTGTGTTGACACAGCAACGTGCATAAGGGCCCAAGTTGTGTGCCGCACTGGCCTCACACGAGCCCTCCGCGGCGCGGAGGCCTCGAATAAGTATCGTATCGAGTTTGCCCTTTCTTCAACAGTGTACTTGCGTACATGAAGCAGTTACACAACAGAGAGGGGCAGCGCACATGATTACAGCCGCCGTAAGGGTGAGGAGGGGGATGCAGCAGCGCGAATAACTTTGCTCGTCTTTCATTCTGAAGCAGCTAACCTCCCCTTCCACCCCTCGGCCACCCCTTGGATAAGTTTAGCCAAAAGAGTGGACGAGTTCAGATTACAATACGTATAACATCGCAATGTAGCGGTTACTCCCTCCAAAAACTGGCAGTTGCAAGCAAACTTTCTATTGTCTATCAATTTGTTTTTTGCTACACAAACTGTAATTTTGAATCTTTGCAAGTTCTCTTGCAACGGCGCTCAGTCCATCACTTTTCTTGTTTTGTTTTGTTTGTTTTTTTAACGGGTATTTCCTGGGGATGCGTTCACTGGTAAAACAAAGGTGTGAAATCACACCTTTTAAAAGGCATTAAAGTTCCAAAGGCGTAAACGTTTCAGTTTTTTCAAAATATTTTCTGCTGAAGCAAACCAAGATTTGTAGGACTAAAATTTTCGCAATCAGCTCAAAATTCCGCTTCGAACGAGCCTACTTGTGATATGTGTCTGAAGAACGGTGAAAGAAGTAACTGGCCCTCAGGAATCTACTAAATTTCTTTCATTTGGGATTTGACCCCTATCACATGTAGCTTGATCGAAGCGGAATTTTGTGCTGAATACGAAAATATAAGTTCTACAAACCTTGGTTTGCTTCATCAGAAAATATGTGGGAAAAACTAAAACGTTAATGCCTCTTGACTTTAACGCCCCTGCAAAGGTGTTAATTTACACCTTTGTTTTACCAGTGTTGAACAGGTCATCGGGGAGACGGGAAAAGGGAGGTAGAGGGATGTCGTCCTTTCGAACGCCCATGGCCAGGCCACCATGGAGCCGGTAACCTAAGATGGGAAGGGTGGGTACTTTGAGGACCCTAGCATTAGGAGACGCAACCCCAGCAAGGAGGACGACAGGAGCGTAGCAGGGGATAACAGCAGGAGATTATAAAGGATGAGAAACACAAGATCCAAACAAAAGGAGAAAAAGTTAAGGTCAAGTTACGAAGAGGAGCATGAAAGAAGTAAGGAGAAGGGAAATACGACACAATAAAAAGTGGGCAGCTCGCATCAGAGGGGCAAGAACGGCCGGTCAGTCGAGTGGACGCATCAGGTTGTGGAGATGCGATACGGAGAGGAAGGGAGGAAGAGGGTGAGGGAGAGGGGGACAGGGGGGAGTGAGAGGAGAGAGAGAGAGAGAGAGAGAGAGAGAGAGAGAGAGAGAGAGATCGGATGAGGTGTGAAGACTCCCTGCCACTTTCGTCTCCCCATCCCCTCTTTCCCGCACACGCTCTGGGCCCCGTTTTAGCCCTCCAGGGTGGGTCCCCAAACACCCTTCACATCGAGTCCACTTGCGCCCTATATACAGGCGCCAACTACAGCCGACACACACGTACACTATCTCGCGTCGTCATCGACAGAACTGGGGGATTTGGGGGATAACGCTTTCAATATCGTGACATTAATACATTAATATAAATTAATGACCGATTTCCATTCTTCCTAACTCTTTTTTTTCAGTACGCAATTAAGCATTAATTACATCGTCACCCTCCGGCCCCAAGCGCCCTTGGCAGTGGTGCCGCACACACTGATCCCGCTTTAAATGAATTTGAGTGCCTCGTGGGTCTCGACCAGTAGGATCGGTAGGCTTTACCAGCCTGGGGATAGGGGGTGCGGGGATG